TGTCTTTAAATAATTTCTCTCTTCTATATATTACTTAACAATTAATGAAAGCTACACAATTCCCTGAATGCTTGTTGCTTCGACATTTCTTCTGGCAGATATTCTAGTCCATTGCTCTTAAGGTTTGCCTTCCACAAAACCCTTAATCATGGACACAATTCAGCCAAGTTCTTTTCCCATTTTAACCCAAGGATGGTTCATCCTCCAGTTTCCAATACCTTGTTCTTCTTTTTTTTTTTTTTGAGACTTCATCAGAATAGTCCTTGCTTTCTATATTTTTACCAGGATTCTTGCCAAGACCATGGAAGAATCTCTGAGAAAATTTAAACTCTCCTGATAGCCATTCTCTTTTGAGCCCTAAACAAAATGGAAACTAAGCAAAAGAAAAGAAAGAATAAAAATTAGAGATGAAATCAATGAAACTGAAAACAAAATAATAGAGAATATGAACAAAATCAAAATCTGGTTCTTCAAAAAAATTAGTAAGATCAACAGGCCTGTCATCAAGATAACTAAGAAAAAGACAGAAGATACAAATTATCAATAATCAGAGGGAACATCACAATAAATCCCAAGGACATTGAAAAGATAATAAAGGTTGGGGACCAGCAGATGGTGTGGTGGTTAAGGCACTGGACACTCCCACATGGCTGACCAGGGTTCAAGTTCTGAATCTGGTGGCCTACTTTCTCATTTTCTCTCTCTCACTCTCACCCTCTGTCTCTCTCTGGTCAAATTAAAAAATAAACGAATGAATAAATAAAATAAAATAAATAATTTTTAAAAAAGAAAAGATAATAAAGACTATTGTGACCAACACTATGTCCACATATTTGATAAACTTCAATAAACACCCATTCCTTGAAAGAAACAACCTGACAATATTCACACAAGAAGAAATAGACAATCTAAGTGGATACATAGATATTAAAGAAATCAAATTAGCAATTAATAACCTTCCAAAAGAGAAAATACCAGGCTCAACTGGATTAATGTGTGAATTCTACCACATAATTAAGGAATAAACTATATCAATTCTCTACGATCTCTTCCCAAAGATAAAACTAGAGGGGCTAGTCCCTAACTCGTTTGATGATGCCATCATTACCATAATTTGAACTCCAAATATACATTACAAGAAAAGACAACTAACAGACTCTTCTGAATGTAGTTGTTAATCTTCAACATAATATTAGCAAATAAAATTCAACAATGTATAAAAAGAATTATACACCACAGCCTATCAAGGTTTATCCCAGGTATATAAGGTTGGTTTAACAATCAAAAATGAAGTTATACAACCCATTGATTCAATAGGTTAAAGACAAAAAAAATCACATCATCATATCAATTGATGCAGAAAACATTTGATAACATCCAACACCCAACCATGATAAAAAAAAAAAAAACTTTCAGAAAACTAATAGAAAGACACCTTCAACTTGATAAAGAATATGTGCAGGGGCCAACAGGTGGTGTACTGGTCAAAGTACTGGATTCCCACACTCCCACATGGTTGGCCACAGTTTGAGTCCTAGACCTGGAGGCTTGAAAATCACGCCAGGTGCGTGTGCATGCCTGCCCAAAATTCCAGGAAGAGAATGGAGGAGAAGGGATTGGGCGTGGCCATCCCCCCAGGGGGTGATTTCTCACCCTTTCACTGTCTCTCTCTGGTAAGCACATGCATTCTGTGGCAAAAACCTTTAAAAAAGTAAGAATATGTACCCAAAAAACCTACATCTTATGCATACTTAATAGTGAGAAACTCAAAACTCCCTGCTAAGATCAGGAAAAATTCAGTGTCATGACAAGTGAAAAGTCAGGGAAACCGTTTTAGTTTTAAGGACACTAAACAGAAATGAAATGGGATGTATGGTCATCGATTGGAAAGAAGATTTGTTTAGGAAGGCAGCTATGAAGAACATAAGAACATTATTGAGACAATCAAAAACTGTTTCCTGTGATCATACAGTAGAAAATTGTATCCATGTTCAATTTTCGGAGTGTGTTCATTGAAATAAGGTTTTCTAGGAGACCATTCTTTTTTGTGTGAGAGATTCATGCTGAAATATTTAGGTATGCTATATTAATATGTCTTCAAGTAATTCCAATGACTCACAAATTAAACACACATACAAACACACACATGAAGAGAAAGGAGAAGAATGAATGAAGGAATGAAGCAAATGCGAATAATGTTCACAACTAGCAAATCCAGTTGAACGTTCTTTGCAACTCTCCTGTAGATTAGAAATTTTAAAATAAAACTATCTGAGTTAAGGGCATATTATAAGTGGTATCATTCCAATCAATTTAAAAATGTACCAAAAGTTATTAAATTCTAGGGGGGAAAAAAAGACCACCAAACCAACAAATCAACCAGAACTTGTAAGAATTGACATACCAAGGCATAGCCAAACAGAACTTCCCAAGAATTCCCCTTCAGTCAAAATTAGACTAATGTCCAAGGTGGCAAAACCCCAAGTGCAAAGTGTCTGTCAAACATTTTCAGAACCAGCCTGCTATGTTATCCATCCCAGAAATAACCATTTGGTTCAGAGTCAAAGCCTTCACCTAAGGAATCAAGCCCATCTTTTCAACTGAGGGGTTAGAGTGGGTGGTTTAAGTCCCCAATGATGTTCTTTCTTGACTCAGAGAGCTAAGATTTTCCTACCACATACATGGTAGTGTGTCTCCCTGAGCTTGTGCCACAGGACTGAGAAGGGAGACAGTGAGAATGTGGGTGAAGTGTGGTCCCCAGCCTGACTGACTCTCCAGTGGAGTTCCTCTTTCCTGTTTTCCACCCCACTCATGTTTCCCTTAACTCATGTCCTGGCAGTCTCACATGGGAGCTTCTTGCTTCCAAGATAAGGCATATCCCAGTTACTTGAGGTGGTCAGTTTCCCATTATCCTTCCATTGACACACACAGGATTCTTGAGGCATCACATTCATCCCAGAGGAGGAGCAAGAGTGTAGTCCAGCAACTCCAACCTGTTGACCTGACATGGATGTGGTGACTTCCATGTCATCCTGCTCCATGCTCTTCCATTTTTCAGATGTGAACAACATCTCAAAGGTAAACCCCACCCCTTGCTTTGCTTATTCCGCCCTTATGGATTCTTGACCACTGTGACTCCCTTCACTTCCTAACAGTCTTTCTCTTTTGAAGAAGATCATCCCTGTTTGGTGACGAGAGTCCCCCAGGTAGGTTGATACACTCCCACCACATTACACTCACACTAACCTTGAGTGTTATATCCTCATTTGTCCCCACTTTGCCAAGAAAACACCAAGTCTCACAGGACCAGGAGCTGCCAGAGCCTGCATTTCCTGAACTCCACCATGATCTGACTTGGTCTCAGGCCCACCCAGTGCTGGGTCCTGACTAAAGGAAGGAGAAACTGGAGCATAGAACAGAGACAAAAATCTCATGTGACCTGAAGAGGTAGCCCAGAATATGGAGCTGAAACACAGAAATATCACCTATAGGAAAACTGGAGTCTTGGGTGTGGTCAAATCATAAAAGATAAGATCTAAGGATACTCAGACCCAATATCCACGCTGGTCCTAGAAGCTACCTGGCCATTTTCAAATCAAGGGTTTGGACTCAAGGACCTGCAGCAGGGAGATTGGCAGGCTGTGCATGTGAAGGCTGAGGTGCTCTGTTTCCTGTATCATTAATTCTAGCTGCTGGTGGGGGGCTTCCACCAGGTTGGCCCAGAGGCATTAGAACACACATACTCCCACCTCCCTCAGCCTTCCTTTTGCCCAGTCACATTACCCACTGGGATGTGACTTCTACCTCCAACACTCTGACTAACCCAGAGAGACCTGAAAGGTTTTGGTAACTGAGTTTCAAAGGTGAGGGTTAAAGAGGAACTGAGGATGATGCCGTTTTCCACTGACTTGTCCCTGAGTGTGGTTGCACCAGAGAAAGGACTCTGGAAAGAGGACAGAACCAAGGAAAGAGAAGATGAGCTCAACTCTATTTATTTAAAGTTTGTTTCCCCCCATGGGATACGTGAACTTGCTGGGGAGAGAGGGAGAGGGAGAGAGTGGGAGAGAGAGAGTGAGATAGAGAGAAAAATCACCCCTCCTGGAGGGATGCCCAGGCCACAATCCCTCTCCTTCATCCTCCTCTAGGAATTTTGGGCCCACACACACACAAACATTTGGTGTGATTTTCAAGTTGTGGGTCCACCGTGTGGGAGTCAAATGCCTTAACCAGCACAGCAAATGACGGCTCCTCAAGTGTGCTCTTTAATATCAGGTAAAACATCGTGCAGGAAAGAGCACTGCAAAAAGTCACAGGGGACGAGGACAATGACAGAAAAGGAGGCTTAGGGGAAACCAGGACCATGAACCCAAGGATGAAAGAGGGACTAGAGCTCTGCAAGGGGATTATGAGTTGCTGCTGAACAGAGGGGGGAATAGCAGTGAAGAATGGGACAAAGAGACCCCCAACCAGGAGGGAATAGGAACAGGGTGTAGGACATGTGGATAAAATGCTAGTAAGTCCAGACAGAGCCCACAGAACCCAGACCAGAGCACTGTAGTGAGCCTGAGTGTGGTGCTCCTGCTCAGGGGCTGGCTCAGACTCCCCGCAAGGAGAGGCCCACCCCAGAATGCCAGGGCATTGCTCTTAAAATGCTCTCTCTCCTCCCTCTTCTGCACCCCCTCCTCCTTGAAAAATCCCAACACACACACACACACAAACACACATAGCAGATCAGAGAACACAAGACAAATTTTAATTTGCATGTGCTGTGAACTGGGGTGAGAAAGGGAAAACGCAGGGCAAAGGAGGAAGCCCAGGCTGAATGGGAGACCAGGGAAGCAGCTTGGCCACAGCTGATGGCTCTCAAGAAAATGTCTTGCAGGAAAATGCTGGTTTTGATCTGTGAAAGACAGCAGTCAGGGATGGGCCACCAGTGGAGTAGACCACAGGCCTGCAAACCCACCAAGACTGAGGGAAGGGCATGGGATGTGTAACTCACCTCAGAGGGCCTGGAACTTGTCAAGTAGGGACTGCATGACGGCTGAAACAGAGGCACAACGGGAACTCCTGACACGGGGACACAGAAATCCATCCCCTGCTCTGTGGAGAACTGCCTAACCCTGCAACCCCTCCAGCCCTTGTCCAAACATCTCAGGAAGGCCTCGCCCACCCATCACCAGATTCAGTGGGGAAATGTCTTCTAAAGGGAAACAAGGTGTACCGACCAGCAGTTTTCAAATGTTGGGGCACATCAGAACCATCCACTAAAACAAATGAGCAAATAGTCCCACAATGATGATGAAAACCAAACAAGCCACACCAAGCAGCACATGGAGGGGAAAGAAATGCAGTATCTCTCACTGTCCTGAGACAAGCGAATCTCTGTGAGTCGCCGTCAAAGTGAACCTGGCGTTCAGACACTGCACTTTCTGTCTGTGCACACCCCTGGCCACGAAGGCACTGGAGGCTCTGGGGGAAAAGGCCCGGTTCTCCTCCCACAGGGACGTTTGTCCCAGTGCTGCCACCTGCACCTGTGGCCCATCCCCACCCCACACTCCTGCACGGCTGGAGCTACGACTCACTCTCTGTCTTTCCAAAGAGCACACATGCCCTGCACCAAAAACCTATACAAAAATAAATAAATAAATAACCAAGGAAGTCACACCAAGCAGCAAGTTAAGGGGAAAGAAATGCAGTATCTCTCAATGTCCTGAGACAAGCGAATCTCTGTGAGTCGCCGTCAAAGTGAACCTGGCGTTCAGACACTGCACTTTCTGTCTGTGCACACCCCTGGCCATGAAGGCACTGGAGGCTCTGGGGGAAAAGGCCCGGTTCTCCTCCCACAGGGACGTTTGTCCCAGTGCTGCCACCTGCACCTGTGGCCCATCCCCACCCCACACTCCTGCACGGCTGGAGCTACGACTCAGTGGACTGGCCCTGCCCAGCCTGGGGTGGGCATACCTAGCTGCTCCTTCAGGTCGTCTCGTTCCTTCCGAAGGCTGACACACTACTCAGCAGACGCGGGATCAAAAGCAGTGATTAGTAATATTCTGGCCTGTCCCCTCCTGGCCCTCTGCCCCTTCCCCACCCAGGCCATCCACCCCCACATCCCAAGTCCTGTGGCTAGAATGGCATGGAACCCTCTATTGGCAGGGGTGCCCACTCTCTGTGCGGGTGGGACACAGGGGACACATAAGTCAGCGTAACCTGGATTCCACCACCTAGTTTGGACCTGCCCTTCTAGGAGGTGAGGGAGCATTACCCCAGGGCAACCCGGGGCCTCAGGTGGCTGCTGTTGCATTTCTGGTCCCGGGAGGGACACAGATGGCTCCTGGTTGCCTGTAAGAGAACACAAAATCCAGCTTCTGAGCCTCAGTCTCAGGGGAAAGGGCCCAGCTAGATCCAACAACGCCTTTGCTGGCAATGGGTTGCCCTCACTTTGCCTGGCAATTCATCCCTCTTTGAGCTTGCCTTTTTGGGACTCCCAGTGTCAGCCCATCTGGGACTATGGTGTCCAAGGATTGTGGTCCTAGCAATGGACATTGGCAAGGCGGTAGACACAGGCACCCCTGGAAGAGCCATGTGGCTGACCAGGCATAACAAGGGGTAGGGTCTGTCCTACTAAAAGTCTAAGTTTTGTAGTTGGAGTTTAAGGCACAGCTACAGCTCACCCCGACTGTCCAAACCCCACTCAGGATAATGTGGTTTGAGGCCAGTGCTGCTGACACCCATTTCCCATGGGAGGACAGCCTGGGTAGGCAGAGAAGACAGGGGACACAGGTGAGCCCACAAAGTGATGGAGCTAGAAGGTTGCCTTTCCACCCCTCTCCCTTGCACTGCTACCAAACACACGAGACTCACCTGATGGTACAGGACTCCTGCGCCTGACTCCCTGGCTTAGGACCAAAGACTGTGCGTTTTCTGGAAATTCAGGTGCTCTGGCATTGGGGTCCCCACTTGTGACTTGTTCATGATGCATGCGTCGGCAGGTTGGCCTTGGCTTCTGTGTTGGATACCAAAAAGACAATAAGACAATTTCTCACTGAATTGGGCTGTGATAGGTATGTGCGTGTGTGTGTTTGTGTTTGTGTGTGTGTGTGTGTAGAGGCCGGAGTGAGGTGGGGTATAAGGAAGGGAATTCAGAGGTTAATGTCATTAGCACTTTTCCCTCAGTCAGCCCCAGGCCAGGAGGCAGGGCTGAGTCAGGGAGGACACCCGGGCTCCTGAGAAAACCCAGATCCCCCACAAGGCAGTCCTGGGGAAGAGCTAGGGAGGACGCCGGTGGTGGGTGAGTCTAGACACAGAAGCTTTGCAGCTCAGACTTCAAGGGGACTCTTGATCCAAATCAGCTGCCAGCCCTGCCTTCCATCCCAGCCCCTCTGGGGAAAAAGCCAAAAGTCTGCCACGTGTCCAGAACCATGCCTGGCCCATACCAAGTGCTCTCCTAATGTCTGCCCCTTATGAACTAGGATGACCCCCAACTTGACATCCTAGTGACCCTGGGCACCCGCCGTTCACCCTCCAGCAAGAGACAGAAATAACATGGGTAAAGATGTGTGTGCTGGGCAAGTGGAAAGGTGGGAGAGAGGAGGAGGGCAAGGGTAGCCTACTCACCTGGACCCCGGGGACCGCATCTCTATTTGGTTCATTAACTTCTCCCTTCACAGGCTGGGACACTCTCTTTCTCCTTGCCAAAGATTTCTTCCCAGTGCTGCTGGCCTTGGAGTGTCTGGGTCCCGAAGGGAGGCAGGGGTATTTCTTGGACTTCCCAAGCAGAGACACTCCAGTGACTGCAGGCAAACTGGGTGATTCCATGGGAGGTATCGAGCATCTCTGTCCCCACGAAGGAAAGATTCTCCCAGAGTCAACTGCTGAGGCACCCCCTGGAGTTTTCTTCTCCCGTGCCACCTTCTGCCTAGTAGGGCCCCGGGGAAGGCCTCCTGAAGCAGCAGTCCCGGAGTGGCTGGACTTGCTCCTTCCCTTTCCACTGCCCACATTTTGTGTTTTCTTGCAGGAGGGCATGGCCAGCTCTCTAATGGCCTGCCTTTCCTTGCCTGAAGTGAACCCTTGGGGAGCAAGAGTTGAGACAGGGCCTGGTTCATGGGATAAATTGTCCTCAACATTGTGTTTTGAATGTGATGTGTCTTCAGGTTCTTCGGAGCTGCTAGGCCACGCCTGGCCTCGCTGTTTGGTGAAAAAGCTCACTCTCATCACCTGGATGTCACTCTCATCAGATAACTCAGAATCAGAAAGCTGCCCGGCCTGGCTTTCTGAGGAGAGCTGCATGTCCTCCACGCTGACTTTTGACCTACTTCTAGGGTCTGTTTTCAGATCCCTCCAGTCTCCACCACCCTCAGGTCCGGTGATGGGGGACAGGGCAGCAGCCTGCCGTTGTTCTGCGCAGCTCTGGGCACGTGCGCCTCCACCACTGGGCCCTGCCTCTACATCCTCCCAAAGAGTGGTAACATCTGGACAGCTTTCTGGCGTCGGGAATCTGTGGAGGCCCCAGGCATCCCGTTTGGTCAGATGCTGCAGAATGGTGGCAAACTTGTCAGTACAGTGAGACATATTGTCCAGAGTGTCCCCACCCCACCACTGCCCCCATAAACCAGAGTCAGGCTGGCTTACATATTCTCATATCGCCCTACCTCCCGCCTCTCTTTTTCTGCTCATAACAGAATCAAAGCCCTCAGGGCCTCTCACATCCCCCTGCGAGACAGCCAGGCCCCCGTTGGCATCTGGCCACTTACCCTTGAAGTCTGTGATTCCCCCCCACCCCCGCTCTGCAGCACGCCCAATATCAAGGCTTCAAGCAGGTCCCTGCTGGAAACCCAGGCCGGCATAGGGGACGCCCACCCACTCCCTGCCTTCAAGTTGAAACTGCCTCCTCAAACAGACACCTCATCTGGGGAGCTCATGGCGTGTGTCCAGTCCTGGCCACGGGGTTCAGGGTTTTCGTCTTCCTTTCACGGCGTAGAGGCGGGCAGCGCTCAGGAGACTCCAGGACTTCGGGATGACTGTGGTAGTCACTAAGGGCACCAACAGTCAAAAAGGCCTCAAACGACAATGCGTGGCTTTCGCGCGCCTTTGACGCTGGCACCCCTGCCTTCTCATTGGTCCACCAAGTACCAACCAGTGCTCTTCTTGTTGGGAGGCACTGTGAGTATCTAACCAATAGGGAGCAGGGCTCCTGCTCGGTCTGGAAGCCGCTGGGTCCTCTGAATGTTCAGGAACCAGTCAGACAGTAGAGTCCTGGCCTTGGGGCTCTGGTTCCAACTCTGGGTGTCTCATTGCCTCTGGTCGCGCATGTACTTTCCTATGAGAGCCACGCTTCTGAGCCTCAGTTTCTCATCTGTGGAATGGGAGACGTACCTGTAGCTCAGAGAACTGTGAGAATTAAACTGAATGGTGGATGTGAAGCACCCCGCACAGAGAAGGTTTTGCAGTAAGCCTCTGTTCCACACCAAGATATCTCACCATCTGGTGGGAAAATGGGCAGGGATGCCAACAGTCAATAATCAGAAGTAGGCGCACTTTTTCCAGAATGGGCCAGATGGTAAATGTTTTATGATTTAGGAGCTGTGTGGACCATTTAGTAACTGATGGATCCCGATGATCAGAATCCAATTAGCATGTGGCTGTGAGCACATGCAAGCAACTATAGGCTGGTCAGTGTGGCAGGTTAGCAGGTAGAAACTGGCCCACCTCTCCCAGATCCCCCACTCTCCATTCCCCTCCAAGTTAATTCAAAGAAGCGGAAATTCCAAGAGAAACCAACACCACAAAAGATGAACACTATTGCTGATCCTGAAGATACAAACTGAAATCACAAATCAATTGTCATATGCCAAGTTTGCCACAATTGAGGAGCTTAACCATTCCAAGGCCAGTAGAGATTTTGCTGGGTGGTGGGAGGGGCAGCCATTTGTGAGGGTTATTTTGTGGAATCTGTGAAACACAAATTGTACATTTACTTTTCCTCATGATAGTCCTAGGTTAAAGTACGTACTGTTTGATCCAAGAAACAAGTGAGGAAACAGGCCTGAGAGGTTCGATGACTTGCCCAAGTACATTCAATATGTTGGTATAAGCAGCAAGATGGAAACCAGGAAGTCTGGCTCCACAGTCAGTGCTCTGAGCTGAAACTCCTCAAATTGAAAAGTGCCTGATCCTGGGACCAGCAGTTAGTGTAACAGCTATGTTGCTGGACTCCCATGTAGTCGACTGTGGTTTGAGTCCTGTACCCAGCGGCTTGAACTCACACTGGGCGTGTGTGCGTGTGTGCCTAGGATCCTGAGAAGAGAATGGAGGAGAAGGGATTGCAGCGTGGCCATCCCCCTTGG